ACAAGATAAATATCATGTAGGGTGATATAACACACAAGATACATGGTATATACATAGACATGACGTAATCAGTGGTCAGTATTGGGGTCATTATAGTCATAGATACACCTGGAGTATATAGATACACATACGTTTAGCTGCACTGCTGAAGAGTCCATATTCCAGGTAATCGTTTTCAGTTGTCAAGTCCATTTCGTTGCACATTTCCTTGATGACGTCGAAGCCAGTCTGGAAACAGCGAAGCAGAATTTGTTAGTGGAAAGGAAAGGTTGTATGTAACCTGTAGCCAGTATTTGTTAGTGGAAAGTAAAGGTTGTATATAACCTGAAGCCAGTATTTGTTAGTGGAAAGGAAAGGTTGTATATAACCTAAGCCAGTATTTTGAAAGGACTCACCGAGCAGGTTTGTATTTTCATCATTTTACCAATCATTCCTGGTAACAGCATTACTTGTCGCTTGGTCTGTCGCCCTTGCTGTAAGCAAGCAAGTAAAAATAACAGTTAGCACGTGACATATAATGACTTGCCACGTGACTTATCACGTAACACATCATGTGACACATCACCTAACTTATCACGTAAGACAACGGTAGTTATCACGTGGCTTATCACGTGGCTTATCACGTGATGTGAGGGCTGTAATCACTCACCACAAGTTGTTTGAGCTCCACAGTTGATGGGTGTGTCCTTCTGCCTCCGTACTTGAAGGTAGTCATCAGGTTTTGTTCACAGATGGCTGCAGCACCTGATAGATGGATATCAAACAAGGAATCAGTTGGGATACTACTGCACTCGGCGCTTTATCTAAAGTACTAAATAACTTTGTGGTACATAAACATAGAGCAAATTTCGCAYGACGGAGGTGCCGTGCCATGACCGTGCCGTGACAGTGACGCCTCGGTGATGGAGATAGTGCCGTGCCGTGACCGTGACAGCTCCGTGACCGTGATAGTGCCGTATCGTGACCGTGATGGTGCCATGACCGTGCCGTGACCGTGACGGCTCCGTGATCGCGACCGTACCGTGCCGTGATCGTGCCATGTTCGAGTACATTGCTTGGAGGAGCAGTGATCTCGCGAGCTGTGATTGGTTCTAAGGATGTCCGTTCCATGTCGTGCCGTCATACGAAACAGAGTCTATGAAATATTCCCTTGATAGATTGGTACTAACCATGAAACTCTCTCTTTGGATCACACGCAGTACTCTGCAGGAACTTTACCAAATATGGCTCGAGAACGTCACCACATTTGACGTATGATGTCAGTATGATTAAAAGACGCCAACCACGACTACAGCTGTCACTGAAAACAAGCCACATAGATATTGCGTTACAAGCATGTTATAGTGATTTTACGCCACCAATTTTCATGTCACATAAAAATGTCACGATATACTCGTAGACTCGTACTTTTGTTACCAGTAAAAACATGTCAAGGAGATATTACGTTACAAGTATGTTATTACGTCATCCATTTATATGTAACGCAAGAATGTCACGATATACTTACGGGCTTGTACTTTTGTTACTGGTGACTTGTTTGATCAACTGACAATATACTTCATCACAAAGAACAGGATTCTCTCTACAGGTCTGCCATAAAAACCAACAAAAAAGAAGAGTGGTTACTTGAGTGCAACAAGAAACAGATCGTATTGACCGTAAGACCGGGCAAGGCTAACTGACAGATCAAACCCTGAAACAACCTCTGAGCTGATCTAAGTCAGGGCATGACTAACTCACAGATCAAACCCTGAAACAACCTCTGGGCTGATCTAAGTCAGGGCATGGCTAACTCGCAGATTGAATTGGAATTTAGCATATTAGGTTTTGCAAAGGCAGGAAAACCAAAGAACGTCGAGAAAAAATTTCGAATCAGGAGAGAGACCCAATTGAAGCCAAGACCCCAGAAGTGAGTGGCAGATGCTCTATTGTTACCCGTGGTTTCCCTTTATACTACTACAGGGGTAGTGATGTACCTTGATGAGGAAATACACCAGGTCTGTGTCCTTCTGACTTCTACCCATCGCAACGTCACCCATGAACTTCATGATGGCTGGTGAGTCAAAAATAGAAGACAAAAATATTAGATAACTTAAAATGACACATAACACCTATAGAGGCTTTGCACCATCACATGATGGCAGCCATGACAGGAGATAGGCACAAAAGAAATTTTTATCCATGTGATTCAAGTCAAGATTCATGTCACAGGATTTTGTCATGTGACACGACCTACGATGGAGTTATAGTTATGACTTGGACCAGTTAGAGCAGTTTTTGTATGACTGAAAAAGTCGGTGCCGTAATGTCTTGCGCAATATGATTGATCTGACAGTGCCGTAACCGTGTGTGACCATGTCCGCGACGTGTTCCGGGCATTTGATTGGATGGAATAAATTCTCGCGCAATGTGATTGGTCTGGCGTATGTCTAATCGTGTCTGCTCTACTGCCATGATACAGTGCTCTGCTATAATAGTCATTGGTTACCTTGGAAACAGTCAATGGCGAGTTTGTTTTGGTGACCTTCTAGTCGCAGCAGCGAGGCTTGCAAAGGTGCCTGGAAAACATAGGGGAAGAAAAGTAGTATGAGAAATTAAATACCAACCATGTTCTTTTGTATTCAGTTTGTCTTGGTATAGTACTAAAAACCTCGTTCTAGAAGTCGGGATCAGGCTAGGGATCAGGCTAGGGATCAGGCCCAGAAACATGCCAGAAACACGGAGAAACACTCAGCATCAATGAAATTCAATATGGCGGCTCTTCCAACAACAACTTCGTTATGACGCCTTGTTAATTATGTCGAAAGTTTGATGGAAAACGCCTGACGTCGAACTGCAGTTTGAAGTTTGCGGTACCTAGCAAGAACGTCGTGCTAAAGGTCTCTGGGGAGAGCAGGCCTGAGACAAGGTCTTTAACTTCAATGAAACCCTGGCTCTATGGTGTTAGCCTTCATATAAAAGGTCCTTTGTGAAGTCCCTCTCAATGGTAACCATAGCGATATATATGTATATAGTCGTTACCTTGCTGTACTTTACGAGTTCAGCCAACCCTTTCCACGTCCATTCAACGTTTTTGTTATTTCCTGCGTTCAGAAAACAAAACTATTAGCGCGTCATCTCAGTAGAATCACATGTCGTGTCATGCCGGAGGCGTAGAGGTGAGAGAGCTCGCCTCTCAACAATGCGACGCTCGTTCGATTTGCGAACTCGGTGTCGTGTGTGAGTAGAGTTGTTTGTTGGTTCTCCTGTGCTTTGAAAGTTTTTCCCCGGTTTTCTTCCCACCACAAAAATCAACTCCTAAATCCAAATTCAATCATGGAACAAGCGCCACAGGTTTGTTAGCCACTGGCTCAGTTAAGTGCTACCCTTGTAAAACAAAGACGGTTTTGTTTCTGGTTTAATTACCTTTGTTTGATTGTTTGAAATTGCCTTTTATACGTAGAGTACCACGGACTGTACCATCAGGCTGACGATGAACCACCTCCCTGAAAAACATTACATCAAGACTTATGTGACCTAACGTGACCGTGACAGTACTGTTGCGTTACCGCGTCTGAGCGTTCTGATTGGACTACTTCGACGACAATCCGTTCATCTTGGATCGCAAGGCATTATGGGACGTCCAGGGGACAAATCAAGTTTTGTTACAGTTTTGAATTAAGACGGTACATCGATGACCTTTACCCATGAAAGAAAGACAAACACAAGAAACTTTACTTATTTTCCGTCATCTTTGTTTTGTTTTGCCCCCTGACAAGATGGCCGCCGTATCGTCGAAGTAGTCAAATCGCGCGTGAGAAGACCTCCAAGGTAAAACCTCCAAGGTAAAGAAGTCTATTCTTGAAAATAAAGTCCACATGGGTTAGCTGTGTTTTTTTCCCTGTCGTATTATGGTGTACTTACTGTCCATGTCTAAAGTTATGCATAGCGAATTCCATCATTGAGTAGGTCCCTCCACCATATTCAGACCTCGTAGATCTTGTACTACCGCTACGTTTACGAGAGATGACAGGAGATGATTCGTCACCTGAGTGTGGACTACTCACTGGAGCTGCGTTTATTAGATTGGACTTTGGAACAGCAGGATCCTGTGGGGGGAGATGAGAGGAGGGTAAGTACAATGTACCCTGATACTAAGAGCTTAAGGCTCTGGATAAACGAGGAAACATGTTTACCGCGCGCATGTTTCCTCGATGTTTCCCAGTTTAGCCACATGCGAAACATTGCTGCGTGCAACAAATTTTGCTTCCAAGACGCATAAAAATGTTTTTGCTGTGCGGTAGAAACATTTCATGTTCTCAAGACGCATGGAAACATTGTTTCCCGATGTTTCCTGACAGTTTTGCCACCTTAGGAAACATTTAGGGAAACATGTTTCCTCGTTAAGTCAGGGCCTAACGATGTAAAGAGTATGAAGAGCAAGATGACAGGCAAGATGCAAGTATAGACAAGAAATACGTACGTGATGTTCAGATACGTCTTGTGAGAAGCGTAGATGTCGCTTATGGCGGTTTGGCTTGAATAGAGCATGTCGCCATTGGACGTGAGGGTTCACGCCAGCCACACACTGGTGTGGACAGACAGACAGACAGAATAGCAGACGGACGAAAACAAGAAAGGAAGAAAGAAACAATAGAAGCGAGAAAAAGAGAAAGTAAGACAAAGAGTCCAGATTCTGGACGACCAGTAAAGAGTTTCAAAATCAACATTGTTGTCAGTCAGTACAAGTTGGATGTCAGTCGATTCAACCAGATATAAATGTGTTTGCATGGTATACAACCAATATGACATTACGGTCTATTAACCACCGTGACGTCAATGACATACCTCCTTCATGTGGGTAACATATTCGGTCGGGAAGTACCCACTTCGTCCCGCGAAGGTCCCAAAATACCATCCTTCTTCGAGGTCAGGCTTGTCTATGATTTGAATAACATCACCCTTTTTGAAGTTCAACATATTTTCTTCCTGTGTCACGTAATCGTACATGGCTCTGACGTACTTGGCTTCCTGTTAGTCACGCAATCCATAACATAAGTTAGTAATAAATACAACCAGTAACGCCACAGAACGTCATGCAATCAAAAACTTACCATTTCGATTTGTCGGAGATAAGGATCAATTATCACCTTGATCTCATCCGCCTGGAAATTAAAGTTGTGATAATCAATAATAATAACAATAATAATAATAATAATAATAATGATAATAATAATAATTGATACCTATGTATTTTATTTTATTAGCATGGGTTCTCTGTGTTATGACAAATTACAGCATGGGATCCCTGTGTAGCTACCCTGTCTGTCACCACAGATATCTTACTAGCATGGGCTCCCTGTGATATGACAATATTACAGCATGGGATCCCTGTGTACTTACCCTGTCTGTCACCACAGATATCTTGCTTTCCTTCAATGAAATTATTAACTTGTTTTTGCTGACTCTTACTTTTTCTAAATCCTCATAACTGCAGCAAGAATTCAAAGGAACACATGTTAGATCTAGAATAAGATACGTCCACAAGGCTGCAATTATGATCTCTTATCAATGAAAAATGACGAGTGACTTACAGGATCTTGTTGGTAATTTGAAGTTCATGGCTTATTTTCTCTCTCTTGACGAGGTACACGCCCTGCTCACCAACAGCAATATAATTCACGTCTGGGAATTCATTTTGACCCTGAAACCACAAACATACCAAGAGAACCGTTATGAAGTTGACCATAATATGGATGACGATGATGATGGTGGTGATGATGATGATGGATGATGTTGATAATGATGATGATGATGATGGCGATGATGATAATGATGATGATGGCGATGGTGGTGGTGATGATGATAATGATGATGATGGCGATGGTGGTGATGACAATGATGATGGTGGTGATGGCGATGGTGATGATGATAATGATGATGATGATGATGGCAATGGTGATGATGAGAATGATGATGGTGATGATGGCAATCATGATGATGGTGATGGCGATGATGAGAATGATGATGATGATGATGGCGATGGTTATGATGACAATGATGATGATGATGATAATGATGATAGTGTTATATTACCGTAGCGAGGTAGAATCTGCAGAAGTACAGCGGCAGTTCTCTCGCTGTTTGTATAGTAATTTCTTCAACAGGGATGCTTGAATGTGGTCGTTCTGGAGTTATGCCATATTTTTCTGGTCAAAAGAAAAAAGCATCAAATGAGTGAATAATGCGCAGTGCGTGTAAAACGATGTAAAGCGTTAGAAATATGTGTTCGTGCGAGGTTCATGTTATGTTTTGGGTGTAATTTTTGTGTTTCTGAAACGTTAATGTTCGTGCGAGGTTCGTGTTTGTCTGCGTGGCCTATTCGTGTAAGTGTGATGTCCGTGTGTGATGTTCGTGTGATATTCGCGTTCGTCCGACGTTCATGTTTCTGCGATTGTTCGTTTTCTTCGCCAATTCGTGTTCGTGCCAAATTCGTGTTCGTGCCAAATTCGTGTTCGTGCGATGTTCGTGTTCGTGCGATATTCGCGAGATGCTGTTTGACTTACGAAGTAACGTCTTCATTTTCTGGCGATCACTAGCCATCATCCTACAACAGCTATCAGAGTAGGTATCACGAACAATCTGCGGGAAAAGAGATGGCATCAAAACCAATTTCAAATACACAAAAAAATCACCACCTCATGGACACTGGAACCATTTAGCAGCACGTTCTATCATACCCGTCTGGACGCTCATATGAATGACTATTACCATTATAAACGTAAACTYGTAACGCTAACGACGAAATGAAAGTGCTTTTCTTGTGCGAGGACTTAGCTCTAACAATGGTAGCACACAATCAAACTACAATGTACCTGGAGAAAGACGAGTCGCTGCTCGATTCTGTTGTCAAGCTTTTCGTTCGGAGAAAACAGCTGCAAAGATAAAGGACGTAGATTTTCTATTTTGTTGTAAAGTTTTGCTTTTGCAAATGTTTTTAAACACATTTCAATCTTCAAATTTAATTGATACCTTGAAACAACCTCTGGGCTGATCTAAGTCAGGGCACAGCTAACTCACAGATAGAACCCTGAAACAACCTCTGGGCTGATCTAAGTCAGGGCACGGCTAACTCACAGATAGAACCCTGAAACAACCTCTGGGTTGATCTAAGTCAGGGCACGGCTAACTCACAGATAGAACCCTGAAACAACCTCTGGGCTGATCTAAGTCAAAGCATGGCTAACTCACAGATCAAACCCTGAAACAACCTCTGGGCTGATCTAAGTCAGGGCAAGACTAACTTATAGATGGAACCCAAAAACAACCTCTGGGCTGTTTTGTGGAGGGAGGAAAACCAGAGATTCTTGGAATAAACCTTTCAAAACCTGTGACGTCAAGTCCAAGAAATGAGCCCTAGACCACGGAGGTGAGAGTCTACTACTCCTATGACACAGTTGTTGTTTCAGCTAGTCTTACCTCTTTCCTGATGCTCATCTTCCAGGTAGTATGCCCAGCACAGATATAAGGTCCCTTTGTTTTGTTATATTTCTTGGTATTTTTCTTTTCCTGCTGTGCTAGAGCCGTCACAGAAGAACTCAACATTGATCGAAGCTGAGGTTTTTCTGCTTCACCAGCATCAACACGATCCTCAGCCTTCGTCGATGAATAGTTCTGAACGACTTCAATGGATTTGATGGTGGCTCTTGTTGGAGATGTGGGTGACTTTCCCTCTAATGCTGCCACAGCTGATGCTACACCAGCAGACGAGGTTGATAGCCGGTTATTTTGTGTCGTGGGAGGTAATGGAGGAGGTGATAAAGGAGGAGGAGGGTAGGGAGCGATAGGTTCTTCAAGAGGTGGAGGTGGTGGTGGTGCAGGAGGATGTGCTGTTGGAGGTGGTGGTATTGTTCTAAGCAGTGACTTGTGTTCTTCCCTGTCTGAGAACTCAGGCGGAGGTGGCGGTGTTTCAAAGGACTGTATCCTCGAGTATGGTTTAGGAGCTGGAGTACTCTCCATATTGGTCTTCGTGACAGGTCGATTACTGATGCTACCTGAAGGGGCACCGTTAGGCATACCCCCTCGAGCCACCTTCAATTGTTCCTGTAATGTCTTCAACTGTTCTTCATGTTGCAGTGTCATCTTCATCATCTCTTCATTAGACTTCTGTGATAGCTGCTTCTGTTGTTCCTGTATCAGTCTTTGTTGAGAGAGAAGGTGGTCGATAAGGATCTGTTGTTGAGCCGCCAGCGATAACACGTCAGGGGTAGGACTTGCGTACCCTGCCATCATCGGTCCATTAGACATCACAGGCATAAAAGCAGGACTCATGCCTACGCCTGAATACCCATTCATTCCCGAGTAACCATTAGCAACCGGTGACATTGGTACATAAACAGTTCCATTCACTCCTATTGGTGTTGTCATGGATACGGTTGAAGGGTCGGATGAGCCTGCGTTAGTAGTGTAGGTTGGTTGTGAGGTAGCCCCAGGCTGGTTCATTCCGCCTCCGCCCTTGATGGCCCTCGCTACTGACTTCTCGTCAGTTAGATCATCAATGTTATTAGACAAGACAGGATCAAACAAGCTGTCAACAAAATCATTGACATCTTGGTCTCCATGAAGAGATCCGTTCCTTTGGATGCTATTCTTCTTTGATGAATTCCCAGATGAACTACTAGCATTATCAACATCGATAGTGACAGGATTATCATTATCAGTGCTGTAACTGCTCGTAGATGATCGTGTTGACCCGTAAACAAACGACTGTCTGTTTTTCTCGTTCGGAGACCGGTCGGTTTTAGTTCGTATGTTATCAAAAGAGTTGTCGCTGTCTTGCCACAGGCGACTCGCTCTATTTGCCTTGGCCTGCATAGCTCGCTTTAGTTCATTATCAGTATCTTCTTCTTTTTTTACAGGGATGTTTTTCTGGACCCTCTTAAGGTTGCCTCGTAACATAACAGCAGCTTCAAAAGGATCACCTCCAGGAGTTTCCTTCTTCGCGTCCTCGTTTGACAAAGAGGACATCGCACGACTTCGTGCTTCGCTCATCCTTTTGGCTTTAGCCATTACCTCGGCCATAGACACCTGTGGTCCACTATCAGGCTTCTGCTTCTTCTTGTCTTTCGAGTCGGTGCGTTTTCTTATTATCAATGTGTTAGTAGGCGGTACAATTGGAGGTGGAGGTGGGGGAGGGGGGGCACCAAATCCTCTCCCAGGGAGTGGTGGTGCGGCAGGTATGACTCCATTCACAGGTCCATCAACGGACGTAATACCATCGGTTTTGGTACGCATTACAGTTTGTGCGACTAGCCTGTCTTCTGTTGGTGCGTGGTATGTTGATGACATGGATATTCTGGAGGACGTTGCTGCACTTAACGCGTCCTCACGTAGACCTGGTGCTGGTGGTGCTGGTGGTGCTGGTGGAGCAGGGGGAGCCGCAGGGGTACCAGTAGGACGCTCAGAGAAGGAAAACTTGTGCGCGATCTCAGCTACCTTGGCTCTCTTGGAATGAGGACGATGTAAACTGAAGCAGAAAATAAAAGATGAATGAATRAATAAATAAACAAAAAACGAGCAAACTAATAAATAAACGTTAAGACAACAATTTAAAAATCTTAATGAACACTTGCTCCACGATTTAACATTTCCATAAAGATGTTAACTAACATTCACTTCATTACAGTGGCTCAAAAAGCACTCAGTCGAGGCTGCTGGGTAAAAATATGCTTTGCAAGTGAAAGGGCCTATGTGAAAAAGTGAACAAGGTTGGTCTAACACATCAAACTACAGACCACGTCAGGGACGGATCCCGGTAGGGGGTGCAGGGGGTGCGCACCCCCCCCCCCCCCCCCCCCCCCCCCCCATTTCCCCCCCCCACCCCGCGGATAACAAATACTGGCTTTTCCTTTTGATTCTAAGGGGTGCACCCCTCCCTGAGTTAATTTTATGCGCAGCACCCCTCCCTGAACAAATTCCTG